ACCGGGTGACAGACAGAAAGTTCCCGCTGGCCTTCCCTCAGGGCTGGTCCTGGCAGGATCCTGTGTCACCGGCTAGGAATGGGCCAGGCTGCTGCCGTTCCCTGCCCAGAAGCGCAGGCACCCAGGGCCTCCGTGGGTGGCAGGTGCGGGCCCGGGCCCGGGGCCGGTCAGTCGGCCGGGGGGGGCGGGACATCGCTGGCTGCCAGAGCCCGTCTCCACCCGATGGCACTCTCAGGAAAGGGTGGGGTGGCCTGAAGCAGCCCAGAGGGGCAGAGCAAAGTCTGGCTGGTCCACCCCCACGATGCCCTCGGGCCCCCTTGCTTCTGAGCCAGGTGATGCCGCGGGGCTAGGCCCCCCTGCCCACAAAACTCTCTCCTGGCTCTTGCAAGAAGGCTGAGCCTCTGGCCCCACGGCGAGGATGCTGCGGGAGGAGAAAGGCACATCCTGGCAGGTGGAGTGTCCGGCGTGAAGCCCCATCCCCGGCTGCTCCCCTGTCCCCCGGCCCTCCCCCAGTCTTGTCCGGGGCCAGCCCTGGGCCTCGCTGGCCTGGCCAACCCCACCCCCCCCCCCCAGGGTCTGCTGCCCTCGTGCAGACCCTCGGGCCAGTCCTGGCTCCTGTGCCCCCTGGGCGCTGGGCACAGTCACCCTGGAGTCCTGCCTGGGGCGGGGAGGGGGGCTTGAGGGAGCCGACTCGCACTCCCTGATAAAATAAAAATAGTTGGGAGGAGGCGCCCAGACGGGCAGGGGGAGGGGGGCGCGAGCTGCTTCTCAGACGTTTAAATAATCTCCGCCATATGTGTGTGGGCCTGTCCCTCCCTCCTGTGAGGCGCTGGCCAGGGGCCGGGCCGATCCCCCGTGGGTGCGCGCGGGAGCCCGGTGCAGCAGCTGGGGCCTGCTGACCTCTTCCTCTTCTTCTCCACCCAAGCACAGCCTGAGTGCCCGCTGCGTGCGGAACTGGCCCCGGTGGAGAGCAGAGATGCGGCTCGGGGCGACAGGGGGGGTGCTGAGGACCGGTGAGGGCTGTGGCAGGGACAGGCCGGCCTCCAGGCCAGTCGAGCCTCGGGCTCTGTGTGTCCGGCCGTTGCTGTCTGTTCTGAGTCAAGTGGACACGGAAGGGCTCCCTTGAAGATCCTTCGAAAAGGCAGAGAAATGTCGGAGGGGAGAGGGGCTGGCGGGTGGGGGGGGGGGGCGCTGCCCAGCCTGGGACCCAGGGCCGGTGCCCTCAGGGAGGGGGGAGGAACGCGCCCCACACCCTGACCCCTGCGCTCATTTGCTCAGTGAAGGGGCAAGGGAGGGCCTGACCCGTGCGCACACCCATCGTGGACGGGGGCCCGTGACACCTCAAGAGTGCCGGTGAGTGCGCGTGCTCGCACAGGGGAGCCTTTGGGCATCGTTTGTGGGCTTTGTTGCACTTTCCAGTCCTCCCAGGGAAGAGGCGGGGGTGCTGACTGCCCCTGGCCTCTTGCCCCCTCCTGTGTGAGGGCAGGCTCAGCCTCCAGTGTAAAAAGGAAAAAGCCAGTGCTGGCCAGCTTCTGATGGCGAGGACGTTTCCCCCTTGGGGAAGCTGCCACCGTGTCCCGTGGCCACTGGAGGAATCGAGGAGGGAGGGCCTGTGGGGCATCCTCTGACAGACAGGGAAACTGAGGCATGGAGACAGGCAGGCCATCCGAGTCAGCGGTTCAGCCACGGTGCAGGGCCGAGCTGAGGAAGGTCATGGGGACCTTTCCTCTGGGGTGTCAGTGTGGGGGGAGCCCTCCCTGTGCCCTCGCCCCCCCCCCGGGAGGGGGTGCCACCCGTTCATCTGTGCCGGGCGTGTCCAGGCACCAGCCTCCTCGGGGACGGCAGCCGGAGGTGCCGGCACTGGCTGGCGGTGGCCAAGCCCTGGAGGCTGGACGGCCACTAGCTGACCAGTGACGGCCATGCCGGGCGCTGACTCATGTCACCTCGCGGGGCTGGCTTGGCGGCCTTGGCACCAGGGGCCCAGCCTGTGCTTCTGCTGTGGGGCAGTCCCGAATGGCACAGGGACAGAGCAAGACAGGACAGGGTGGTCCCTGCCCGGCGGTGCCCCGGGGGATCAGGCAGTGTGCAGATGAACGTGTGCGGTCTCGTCCGGAAGCCACAGGGCAGGCGGGAGGATGCTCAGAGGAGCAACTCAGGTCACAGGACTGAGAGCCAGGAGAGAGGTGTGCGGGGCAGGCGTGAGGAGGAAGTGGCTGGGGGGACCCCTGGAGCCCTCCTGCCCCTTCCTGGCGAGGCTCCTGGCTGACCCGGGTAGGTCAAGTGTAGACTGGTTCCAGGCTCTGGAGGCCAAGTGTGGAGACTGAGCCCCCGCAGGGCTGGTGACATGTGGCTGCTCTGGCGGCCACATCTATGGCACTGTTGGGGCCAGAGGTGGGGACCGACCAGGGAGTGGACTCTGGCTGGGGTCAGGGTGCCGGGATGTCAGTCTTCCCCGGACGCTCTGGGCGGCTGGTGCTCGCAGGCCAGGCGGGGTGGTGGCGAGTGTCCTGGGTACGGAGGGAGTGAGCCCATGGGTGGGGTGGGCTGGGTTCCTATCCCTCCCGGTGTTGGCCTGGGTCTGCTCCCACGCAGCACCTGGGGTGGGGGTTTTCTCCGGTCCTGGGACCTGTTCCCTTCTGTGACCCTGAAGGAGTTGGGGGGGGGGGCTGGCTCTGGTGACCACCTGTGGACACGGGGGCCCGGCTCGTGCGTTTGGGGATCTGGTCAATGGTAGGTGCCCCTGCTCTGTGCTTGGTTCTTTTGGGCTCTGCTGCCCCTCCCTTAGAGGTCTGGGGCTCAGCCCCTGTGGGGGAGGGTGGGAAGGGAGGAACTTGCCTCCGCTTTGGGGGGCTGAGCCATCGGGGTTCAGGGCCTGTCCTGGGTTCAAGCCCAGCTTGGCAATCGCCTGGGGCATGGCCTTTGCAGGTACCCAGCATGCTCAGCGGCACTGTGGGGGCAACATGGTGTCCCCAGAGTCAGGAGCCATCCCCCCCCCCCACGGTGTCCTCAGACCCTGGTCAGAGTGTCAGAGCTCAGGTGGGGGTCACCAGGGTCTTGCGGGCAACAGAGGGGCTTTGGTGGCAGAGCCCCGCATCAGGCTGGACGGATTGGACCGTCCTCCGCCGGGTCAGTGAGGACCACCCTGGGCTGGCTGAGGAGGACTCAGGGGTGCAGGGCCACTCAGTGTGGGTCCCCTCCTGGGCCCCCTGCCCAGGGAGATTAGGGCACCAGAGCCCCCCTGGCTGATGGCAGGAGACCATTGATTTGGGCTGAGAGTCCAGGGGCCTGACCCGAGGATGGCAGGGTGTGGCCGGCTCAGGGAGCTTTTGTCCGGGGGGAGGCGAGAAGACCCCAGAAAGGGGCCGGTGTGGGGGAGGAAAGAGGTGCAGGTGTGGCCAGGTGTAACCTGGGTTTGAAGAGCCGCAGGCTTTGAGGCAGGAGGGGATGCCCCAGCGTCAGGGAGGGTCCGCCGATGGAATGGGGCCGTGACACAGGACCGGCAGGTGCGGCCTGGGGAGCCAGCCTCGGACCCGCCTCCCGGCCTCCTGCTCTGGTCCCTCTGCCCCGCTCCAGCCGCCCCCGAACACGCAGAGGCTGTCAGGGCTCGGCAGCCGCGTCTCCTGGAGGAGACCCAGGACCCTTTCCCTTTCTAGAGGCTGGTGGCTTCCTAAGCTGATTCCACATGGCGCCGCCTCCTGAAGGGACTGACTCGGAGCCGCTCTGGCAAAGGCTCCTAATTGGGTTCTGGCATTTGGCTTTGAGTCGACTGCGTTGGCTCTGGTCAGGTGGGGCCCTGTTCCCTGTGGTCAGCCTGGGACACCCATCACTAGCTCCTCATGGCCTGCCGCCTCCCCACCCCCCGCCCCCCAGCTCCGACCTCGGACCGGGCTGCGCCCAGCTCTGTGGCCCAGGCCCCAGCCACTCGCCTCTGTGCTGGGGATGGAAAGGTGACAGCCCAGTGATGCCTGGGTAGGGGGCACGCGGGGCACCAGGGGCTCGGGGGCTCGGCGGCAGACGGGCTCCGAGGTCCTCGGGACCGGGCGCCAGTCCTCGCGGCCGCTGGTCGATGTGACCGTGAGGTGGGGTTCTGCCCCTCGGGCCTCGCGCCCCGGGAGAGGGGGGCGTGCCACCGTCTGTCTGTCTTTGCCCAGCTCTCCTCCTCGTGTCCAGAGCTGCCCGCCCCAAAGGGCTGTCCTCCTCTGGGCCTTCGCTGGTGTCGCCGTGAGTGGGCCTCGTGTCCGGTCAGCAGATGTGCAAGCAGGTCCTCCCTGGGCCCGGCTCTCCCCCACCAGGCCGGGCCCACCAAGGGAGGGCAGCCTCTGGGGGCAGAGCTCGGCGACGAATGCGCCCAGGGCAGTGGGCCGCCTCCCGGAGCTCTCTGCCCAGGGGCTGGTCCTTGGGAGCTGAGGCGGCACAGCCGGGGGCCCGGAGCAGGATGAGGCGTCTGGGAGCACGGGACCCAGGCTTGGGGAGCAGCAACTGTCCCTCCAGGGCTAGGAGTCGAAGCAGAAAGGGGCCCCCCGTGTCCCAGGCCCTCCCCGGGCCAGACAGGCCTGGGCAGGCAGCCCGCCCAGCTCGGCTCCTGGTTGCGGCCCACGGAGGGCTGGACACTGAGGGTGGGGTTCTGCTGCTCCCGTCACCCCTCACCCCCACCCCGGGGACCACAGGAGCCCCTCAGAGCCCCTGGCAAGTACCAGGGACGTGGGCTTGGGAGCTGGCGATTCTGGGGCTCAGGCTGGGACAGAGAAGGGGCAGCAGGGAGGGCGGTGGGGGGACAGTGGACGGTCCCATGAGGACCGTCACCCCAGGCCTTACAGCGGTGTTCTTTGGGTCCTGGAGTGGCCTCTCTGTCTTGCCTGTTGTCGCTCAGCCGGGACGTGGGGGCTGCCTGCTGCCCTCCTGGTCTCCAGCTGGGAGTTCCCTTGGCCTAAATCCTCTGGCCAGCTGGGCTGGACCCGGGCTTGGATTAGCACAGGGGATTGGGCAGGGGGTGGGCGGGGCTTGCAGAGGCCCTGCGGCTGCCCTGCCCTCAGACTCTGGGACGCTGCTTCTTTGGGGATCCCTTCGTGGCCCTGGTGGATGGGCAGGCTGACCTGGGGGCCATCTAGGACGGCAGGTGACGGTTGGGCCAATGCCAGAGGGACCTGGGAGCAGCCCCGCGGGGGCCTCGCAAGGCTCTAAGCAGGAGGAGGAAGAGGAGGAAGAGAGAAGGAGGGCCCGTGGAGCCCCTGTGCCACCCGCCATTGCCTGACCTGCTGCTGAGGCGGGGTGGGGGACGCGGGCGTCCTTTGGCCTCCGTGAGCCACCCCTGGCCATCGTCCTAGCATGTCTGTCCCCTGGCCGTCTACCCCCAGCCGGACCGGGGGAACAGTGGCCTGCCTGGCAGAGGCCCTCCTCTGGGTGGGAGCGAGCGTGGCCGTGTCCCCGCCGTGGCAGCTCGGCCCGCTAGGTAAGGGGGCAGGCCTGGCCCTCCTCGGCGGGAGTGCAGCCTCAGAGCCACAGGGGCCAGGAGGGTGGGGGCTGCTTCTGGGCGTGCAAAAGGCCCCCCTCCTCCAAAGCAAACCTATGACCTCCTGCCCCTCGGGTCTCCCTCTGGGGGTCACGGGGCTCCCGCTGCACCCCCGGCCCACCTGTCTGACCCCAGGGCGCCAGGCAGGCAGCAGGGAGGGTGGGGGTTCGGGGATCAGGGGCAGGGCTGTGGTGGGCATGCTGGCTGGGCACTCAGGTGGCTATAAAACTTTTGCTGAGGGGTCCCTGGCACTTTGCAGGGGTGGGGGTGGCACCTTCAGCCGGGATGCGCTGGGGCTAGCGTGCTGGTGAGGGGCGAGACCGCGCCTAGAGGGGGGCAGAATGCTCCTCGCTGGTGTGAGGCAGGGGTGGGGTGGAGGCCTGCCCGGCCGGTGATGGGAAGGTTGTGTCTGTCCTGGCTGGGCCGGCCCACGGAAGGCCCCACTTGGGACTGTGTCCCGCGCCCCTGGGGCCTGGTCTGGGTGCCCCTTCTGGACCCTGTTCTGGCCTCTGCACCCGCCCCCCTCCCCCTGTCCTGCCTTATCCCTCCCCTCTTGCTACCTGTGCACCAGCAGCCTCACCTGCATCCTCATTTCTCGGTGTCTCTGTGGAGCTCGGCCTCCCTGTGGGCTCTCCCCCCACCACCCTGGAGCGTGAGGAGTCCCACGGGCTGGTCTCCTCGGGTGGCATTGCCTCCAGGGGGTCCCTTAGTGGGTGGCTCATGTGGGGTTGAATTATCGATGCTGCAGCAGTCCTGGGCTTTCTGTAAGTAGGTGTGAAGGGCCCGGGGGGGCTGGGGCTGACCCATCCCCGGCCTGGAGCCCCAGAGCCTGCAACCTGTCCAGCCCTGGGGGGCTGCTGGCCTGGCTGGGACCCCCTCCCCTCAGGACCTGGGAGACGTGAGAGCTGCAGACAGGAGGCCAAGTGGACAGAGGAGGGGAAGGGAGGGCGGGGAGGGGTGCTGGGAGGAGGGTTTGTGTTCTGGAGCTGAAGCCTGGTGCTGCCTTGACCTCCCGGGGCCCCGCTCTGTGGCCTCTAGGGACAGACCCTCACCCTTCCTGCAGGGAGGAGGAGGAGGAGGCCGGCTTTCCCCAGTGGCACGGGAAGCAGGTGCAGGCTCCCAGGTTAGACCACAGCCTGGCCACCCACAGAGGCCCTTATGCACGGCAGCTCCTGAGCACGGCCTCAGCCACCACAGCCCCTCGTGTGTCGCAGGCATTGGGGCAGGTCACGGCAGTCACTGGGGCTGGGATGGACACGGTGGCTGGAGTGAAGCGAAACCAAGCTGCAGAGGAACAGGGTCCTGCCTGGGACCTCGCCTGGCCCGGGGCAGTTGGGGAGGGTGGCCGTGGCCGGGGCTGGGTGGCTCGGTCTGTTTCTGAGCTTGGGCCTGTGGCCCGGGGCCAGCGCCTGGGGGTAGGAACCCGCCCCCGCGGAGGGCCGGCGGGCGGGCGGGTGGACGGTCTCTGCACCCCTTGTGCACGGGGTGGTGGGCGGTAGGGCTGGCCCGGCTCTCACGGCGCCCCTTCTGTCTTTGTGTCGGTTGTCTTCTGCCCGCCGTGTCCATGACGCCCAGTGGAGAGATGCATGAGCGCCATGCAGGCGGGGACCCAGATGGTGAAGCTCCGCGGCAGCTCCAAGGGCCTGGTCCGCTTCTACTTCCTGGACGAGCATCGCTCCTGCATCCGCTGGCGGCCCTCGCGCAAGAACGAGAAGGCCAAGAGTGAGCAGGCGGCCTTGGGGGCGGGGGGAGCTGGGGGCTGCCTTGGGGGAAGCGGGCTGCCCCGGGGGGGCGGAGCTGGGAGCTGCCCTGGGGGGGAGCGGGCGGCCACGAGGCAGCTGGGGAAGTCTCCAGGGGCCTCCGGGCCCGACACAGGCATCTGGTTGGCCTTGCGGTTTCGAGGTGATCTCTGGGCGTCAGGCGCAGAGGGATCAGGGCCTGTAGGACTGTGGGGACTGAGAGCCCATCTGGGATGGTCTGAGGAGCAAAAAAACGGCCCTTCCTTCAGTGTAGCCGGGTCTAGACCTGCCGTAAACAGAGAGAGACCCTTGCGGGGCACATGGAGGGCAGGGCTTCAGTGCCACATGTTAGCTCAGGCGACCTGGGGCATGAGGACTGGCATGGGGCGTGGGGGCTGCAGGGCCGCCCGGGGTAGGAGGGGGCCTGGGCTGGAGGGTTCTTGCAGGGGTGGAAGGGCGAGGTGGACGTCGCAGCAGGGCCTGTCAGGGACCAGGCTGGAGGCAGGAAGGGACACGTCAGGGTCCTCCCAGGCCCGGAGAGACCCAGCTGCACCAGGGCAGGGCCTCAGCCCCGCAGTTGCCAAGGGCACAGCTACCGCCATGGGGCCTGGGAGCCTTGGCGCGGAGCCCCTGGGAGGCATCCTGGTGGTGGTGGTGGGGGGGTGGTGCGTGGGGCTGCCCTCTGGGCCCATGATGCTCAGATGGGGCCCCTCCTCTGGGCCCGGCACTGCTCCCTGTACTGGGCATCATGTGGGAGCGGTGATAAGGCAGGGGTGGGCAGGCCGGGACTGGGGGAGGCCGTGTGTGGTACTCAGACCTGACTCTAGCCTTGGAGGATCCTGAGGAGGGAGGAATGGGGGGCAGCTGTCCCCTGCCAGCACCCCCTAGTCTAGGGCCCGGGACCCCCGCCCCTGCCATGCACACGCATGCATGCAGGGAACTGGAGAAGAGAGGTGGGCAGGCCCCCCGCCCTGTAGGCGGGCTCTGTACTCCCGGGAGCTCAGGGGGTGGGAGCAGAGGACAGGAGGGACACCCCCCCTCACTGCACGAAGTCCCCCCTCCATCACAGCTCTGCCCAGGATAGCTCCCAGAAGGGCACGGAGCCTGCCGGGCAGGGCTGCAGGAGATGGGCGGGTGGTGTTGGGAGGTGGTCGGGGCCCAGCCCAGGGGGCCGGGCTCCCAGAGGGGATGCCTGTGCCCTGCACGGCTGGGAGGGGCCCTGCCGCCTGTGCAGGAACAGACCTGAGAACTCGTCTCCTCGTGGTAATTCAGCTATGGAACGGAGGCCCCGTGGAGCCCCGGGTGCTGTGGCCAGTAATGAAATCCTTGGTGGACCCGGAGCTGGTGCCCGCCGGGCAGGACCCCGCCGCACCCCTGGCCCCGCGGCCTGCTGGAGCCAGAGCCTCCTAGGGAGGCGGCGCGGGATCGGGCCAGTCGCCCTGTCAGAGTGGAGACGCGAGCTGGCTGGAGCCTGACGGACAGAATTGGCCTGTCTGGGCTCCCTCACCCTGCAGCCTCGGCTAGTGCAGAAGCCACGCGCCTGGGGTTGCTAACTAGGGGGAGGGGGCTGCCCCCGAGAGCACGAGCCTTTCTCACACCCCGGGGGAGTGGGGAGCAGCCCTCAGGGTCAGAGCAGAGCAGGGAGGGGTGGGCTCCCCAGGCTCAGATGGGAAGGGGACCCACAAAGGTACCGGCCTTGTCTCTCGCGGGCCGAGCGCGGCAAGCTGCTGCGGCGGGCGGGGGCGCCAGCCCCTGGGGACAGGCTGTGACCGGCCGGCGCCCCTGCCTGCCCGCAGTCTCCATCGACTCCATCCAGGAGGTGAGTGAAGGGCGGCAGTCCGAGATCTTCCAACGCTACCCAGACGGCAGCTTCGACCCCAACTGCTGCTTCAGCATCTATCACGGCAGCCACCGTGAGTCGCTGGACCTGGTCTCGCCCAGCGGGGACGAGGCGCGCACCTGGGTCACGGGCCTGCGCTACCTCATGGCCGGCATCAGCGACGAGGACAGCCTGGCCCGGCGCCAGCGCACTAGGGACCAATATCCTTGGTCTCGGGGGGCGGGTCCCTGGGTGGGGCTCTCCCGCCCCTGGCCGGGTCACACGTTTGGGGGAGGGGAGGGGGGGGGCGCGCTGGGCCTGCTGGACCCGTGTTGGTCCCTGACTCGGCCCTAAAGTGGCTGAAGCAGACATTCGACGAGGCGGACAAGAACGGGGACGGCAGCCTGAGCATCGGCGAGGTTCTGCAGCTGCTGCACAAGCTGAACGTGAACTTGCCCCGGCAGAGGGTGAAGCAGATGTTCCAGGTGGGGTCCCCTGCCTCTGGCACCCGGGGCACAGGCTCTGTGGGGCTGAGGCTGCGTCCGGAGAGGAGGGGCCCTGCCCGAGCGGCGGGAAGTCCTGGGCGGGGTCTCTGGGCCCGCAGTCAGTGGGAGGCCAGGAAGCGGCTTGCCCCTCGCCCTGCGCCCTGCGTCCGCTGAGATGCCCCAAGTGGCCGCCTCTCTCTCTGCAGCTGTGCGGGGCCCTCCCTGGCAGCCTAGGTATTTGGGGCAGGTGTGGGTCCCTGAGGGAAACCACCCAGAGGAGGCTGCACCCCCTTTCCTCCACCCCCCCCCCCCGCCGACTCCCCAGCCTTGATGAGGCACGCCGGCCTGGCGGGGTCCAGGGTGCACACTGGCCCGTGTTGCAGCCTCAGCTCTGGCTCCCCGCCCCCTGCAGCCTCCCGGTTGCAACCACCCCGGTGTTAGAAGTTATGAAAATGCATCTGTCAGCTGGGAGGCGGCCTTTATTGTCTGTAATTAGTTTCTCTCTTTCCGGAACTCCTGCTGGAGCAGCGGGGAGGAAAGGTGGCATCATTGGGTCCCGGTTTGTGGAGTTGATGGGCAAGCAGACCCAGGAGGAGGGCGCTCTCTCTCTCTGTCTCTCTCACGCGGGCACATACACACACACACATGCACACACGCACAGGCACAGAGCCAGCTGCTCCACCAGGCACGGCCCCCGGTGGCTTCACTTGTGCTCTCACCATAGACAGCTGGTGGTTCTTGGCCAGAGCGGGGGTGGGGACCCCGCAGCTCAGAGCACAAGGGTCTGTGCATGAATGAAGGGGCGAGTGGGATGCTCTCGGGCTGCTGGTCAGGGACTAGGGGGGCTCACAGGGCCCCTGCCCGGGCAGTGAGGAGCTGTCAGATGGCTCAGACCTGAAGATCAGCCCCCTACCTGTACCCTGCCTACCCTACCTCCAGGGACAGCTCTGGGCTGAGAGGCCCTTCCAGAATGGTGAGGCTGTCAGGGGCCAGGCAATAGGCTGGCTTAGAACTTGGGGTCCAGCTTGGCCGGTGAGGTGGGAGGAGAGGAGTGTACCCTCACAGAATGGGGTGAGCGTGCACAGACAGGTCCAGTGCAAAGTCCTGGCTTGACGATGCACCACGCTGGGAGCTCTGGGGAGCCCATGCCCACCTGCCCCTCTTCTAGGGACACTGGGCCTCTCACGTGCTCTCTCGGCACAGGGGCTCCCCACAGAGCCCTCTGACCAGCCCTCGGCCTGGCTGTGTCTGGGCTCCAACCAGATCCCCTCGAGGAATCCCAGAGCAGTGGGGACAGACCCTGCGGCCTGTCTGTGGGGCCTGCAGGTGGGGCGGACTCCGGGCTGGTTCTGGAGGGGGAGTGAGCAACAGGGATGGGGCACTGATGTTGGCCTAGAGCTGGGGACCCCAGGCCCTGGGTAGCTCAGACCCCAGCAGCCTTGTCCACGGTAGTCCCTGAGTGCCTGGGCCTCCCTGGCCATCTTTGCGGCCGACCTTGCGGGGCTCTGGACCCCAGAGAAGGAGGCCTGGCCTCCAGTCAGGCAGAGCAGCTCTGATAATTAGCGTCAGTCCGGTGGTCGAGGAGTCTCTGTATTGTTTCCACCACCTGGAAGGGCCTCATCAAAGGAAAGATCTGTGTGGTGGGTAAAGAGCGCCTTGAACATAGTTTCATTAAGTCTGAGATAACAGTGGAGTGCAGGCCCAGTGTGGGCCTCGGGCCGCAGAACAGCTCCAGCCGAGCGTGCCTTCACCTGCTGCAGTCACGGTCTGTGGAAAGAGGGGCCGAGGAATTACATCGGGAGGCAATCCTGGGGCTCAGGGGCCGGGTCTGTCCTTAAGGGTTTCCCGAGGGCTTCATCCTCATAAAATATTCTCATTCACCCCGCGGGCTGGCAGCTGGACAGAGAGCAGGCAGCCACCCCGCGCTGGGCTCCCGGCCGGACCGCCCAGCACAGAACTTGGGGATGGGGGGAGGCCAAATCGCCCTGCGGGCTGGACACTCGACACACTGGGAATCTCTGCCTGGCTCCAGCCACACCCTGGGGAGGGCTGCTGGCCCGGCTCTGTCCCAGGGGGGTCCTTTGGTCTGCAGTGTGAGCCAGAGCCTACAGCCAGAGCCTGGCTGAGCCTGCCGGCTCTCAGACCCAGGGCTGTCCTCAAACCGAGCTCCAGGCACAATGAGGTCTTTGTCTGGTGTCTTCTGGGCCCCTGCGCATGTGGCTCTGGGCTCTGGTCCTGTCCCAGGCTTGGCACAGACGCTGGGGTCCTGGGGTGGGATACTGGGGCCTTGCTGGGTGTCCACTTCAGTGCCGAGCCAGGACTGGCCTTCCCAAGAGCAGTACTCTCCCTGGGGACAGGGACATGGGGGTGGCTGTGGCCACTTGATTCTCTGGTGATGCTTCTGGTTCAGAGAGGGCCTCAGGGACGTGGCACCCACCCCCCAGCCACCCCAGATTGTGTCACCACATAAGGAAAGACTCCAGATGGCGCTCAGAGCCGGAAGCGCTGCTGTCCATGGTGCTGACCCAATGTCAATGCCTGCTGTGCAGCCAACCTCCAGACAGGTCCTTCTCACACCCCACCCCCACCCCACCAGCCCTAAGAACTGGGGCTCTGGATCAGCACCTTCTACGGGACCTTTCTTGTCCATTCCCAGGGATCACCGTGGCCCCAGGGCACCTCAGGCTCCTCTGGGCAGCCTGGCCTCCAGTCGCTGGGTGCCCTTGTCCTCTGTGTCTGTCCCTAGCCTTGGCGTTTGGTGTTCCCAGGGTCTGACACTTCAGTAGATGCTCCCTGAGTAAGTGGGTTCATGAAGAAGTTCATGGTCTCACTGGGGTCTCGGTGGGTTTGCCCCCGGCGGTTCCTGCAGGAGTCGTGTGAGCTGCCCCGTCCGCAAGAGAAAGACAGTGGCCAGGTCCTCTCATCTCTGCTGTGGAGACTGAAGCCTGGACACTCCTGTGCACCCTGGGGCCTTGTGCTTTTCTAATCAATGGGCAGCAATTGTAATTACAGGCTCGCAGCCCAGGGTGGGCATTAACTCCAGGGTGGGGTGTTAGCTCCCAGAGTGCCGTGTTGATTCCAAAGTGAGGTGTTGATCCCCAGGATGGGATGTTGGCTTCCTGAATAGGGTGTTGGATCTCAGGGTAGAGTGTTGACTCCCAGGTGAGATGTTGGCTCCAGGGTGGGGTGTTGACTCTAGGGTAAGGTGTTAGCTCCAATGTAGGGTGTAGGCTCCCAGAGTGGGGTGTTGACTCCAGGGTAGGGTGTTGGCTCCCAGTTTAGAGTGTTGGTTCCCAGGAGGGGCATTAACTCCCATAGTGGGGTTTTGACTCCAATGTTGGATGTTGGCTCTCAACGTGGGGTGACTGTGCCAGGTGTAGGTGCAAGTTGACCATGAAAGACTGGGACTGGGAGGGCAGGGTCAGATCCGTGTGAAAGGATCGCTCAGTGGCTTCTTGGTGGGAGAGTTGGAGCGAGATCCCAGTAAGTTCACTGCTGCAGGGATCCCAGGGAGCTATCGGGGTGGGACACTGGGGGACCCAGAGGCTTTGGCTTGCAGGAGGCAGACACAGATGACCACCAGGGTACACTGAGCTTTGAGGAGTTCTGTGCCTTCTACAAGATGATGTCCACCCGCCGGGACCTCTATCTGCTCATGCTGACCTACAGCGACCACAAGGACTACCTGGACGCCACTGACCTCCAGCGCTTCCTGGAGGTGGAGCAAAAGGTGAGGGGACGACAGCAGGAGCAGGGTCCTGGTGTACATGGCTTCACCTTTGGCTCCCAGGGCACTTGAACCAGTTCACTGTGACTGAGAATCCTTCAGTCTGGAAGGATGGGCCACAGCCTGACACTCAGGGTCCTCAAACCTGCCTCCACTTAGTGAACCTGCTGTGATTCCCATCATGGGCCATCCCGGCATATTTCAGGGTGTGTCCCCTGGAAGCCCTGAGTGGGTGGCTCCTTGGTGGGCCTCTGAGCGGCTCAGCCATGACCACAGATACCCTGAGGCTCCTCAAGGGACCCTGCACTTGACCACAGCACCTTTAGCATGGAGCACCTCATAGAACTGGGGTTCCATGACCCAACCTTCCCACCTGTTCCAGCCACGGGTCTGACTAGCTTGTACCCCCTGAGCCCCAGGCCCATTACCGCCACCTTTGACCCATTTGTCCAGCAGATGCCCAGATGCCTCCAAGTGCCAAGGGGGGCTACCCACCCATTTCTCTTGACTCTAGGCCTTCTTGTCTATACCAAGAGGCCTACTGATTCCTGGGCACTGCCCTGCTGACTGGGGGCCCAGTGTCCGGAGGCTCAGGGATGTGGGCCCCTCAACCTTGGCCCAGGCAGGGGCTGGGTGTCACCTGCTGTGGTGGGCGGGAGGCTGGAAATCCATAGTGGGAGAGGGGAAGGCCAGTGTCCCCTGAGGAAAGAGTGTCCCCGTGGTGGGGCCCAGGCAGTGTATATCTCCCACCCTAAGGGCTGGTGGGAGGCGGCCGTGAGGACCAGCGTCCACACTTATAACTTCCTGGGATCCTCAGGGACCCAGTTTGGGGCAGAGAGTGGGAGGGGCAGTCAGCCTTAGGTTAGAGGCCACGGGCAGAGGCTGCTGGGCAGGGCCGGGGGCTGGGTGGCTGGAGCAGCTGTGACACCCGGGCTGGGTCTACACGTAGCTACCCAGGATCTGCCCCCGCCCCCCACCGCGGCTGTCCTGGTTGGTGTCTGCCCCACCTTACCCCACGCGGCCGTCCTCGGGGCTGTGCTCCCAGGACCCCTCCCCGCTGCTCACACAGTTTGCTGGGGTTCCATCCTCGTGGAAGTGTGCCTGCCTCCTCTCCTGTCCTCCTAGGGGAAGCCCTGGGGTCTGACCCAGGCAGGAGAGGCTGGCACCAGCCTGGCTGGATGCTGATGCCCCGGGCAACTCACTCCCAGCCCAGCCACTGTGGGCAGCATTGGGATGAGGCCGTGGGTTCTCTGTCCCTGTTGCCAGTGTACGTGGGGGTGGAGGGTGGGAAGGCGGCCCTGTCTGGGAAGGGCAGTACTGACTCATTATTCCCTACCCTTTGCCCTAAGCTTTCCAGAAGCTTTTCCCTATATCTGGGGCCAAAGCTGTCCACCAGGTGGGTGGTTTGAGCCCGGACCCAGCCCCCAGACTCTGGGCCTCCCAAGGTCCACAACTACTCTGGGCTCTGACCCCATTTGCCCCACTTCCCCGCTATCACCTGATATCCCTCCCCCACCCCTGCCTACACGGGACTTCCTAGAAGCCCTGCTGGTGAACTTGCTTCCGGGAACTGAGGGCTCTCGGCCTGGGCTGCATGGCAGGGCCCTGGGAGACCACTCAGCCTCTGACCAGGGCAGGGTGGTGGGGGTGGGGGGCGGCATCGATGCCCAGGGCCGCTTGGGCTCGGCTTCCGTGTGCAGCTTTCCCGAGATGCATGTGGGTTAGGCAGCAGGGGGAGCCAGGTAGGGGAGGCTCCCCGTGCCCCTGGGGCTCCTCCAAGGTGGGACTGGTTCTCCTGCACCTTCTCACACATAGGGCTCCCTGCCAGGCCTGCCCTGGTCTACAGCTCTTGAGACCCCGACACGGTGGGAATGAGGGGTGGGCCAGCTGATGGGACCAAAGACCCCTCCCCTGCATCAAGGATCCTGTCCGACACAGCTCTTCCAAAGCCATGTGATCCGTCAGTAGTCCTCCGGCCACTGAGTCCCAAGTCTCACGACACTGAGGGTAGCCGGTGTGCCGCCCAGTCAGGGAAGCACCCTGCAGGCGCCCGAGCCTCCCCCTGACGCTCACCGTGGGCAGTCTTGATGCGACAATCAGAGGCAGCCTGGGAGGCGGCGGTGGTGCAGGAGGAGGAGCGGGGGGAGCTGTCTGAGGCTAGCCCGGGGCCAATGACGGCCTAGCCTGGGCTGAAGCCCCTACTCTGGCCTAGATGACGGGGGTGACCCTTGAGAGCTGCCGGGACATCATCGAGCAGTTTGAGCCCTGCCCAGAAAACAAGAGCAAGGCGGTGCTGGGCATTGACGGTGAGCGGGGCATCGCTGCGGTCCGGCTGTCCCGGCGGGCTGATGGGCAACCTGGGGCCTGGACAAGTGGCCTGGGCAGAGAGTTTACGGTTCCACGTGGCGGGGGTGGGGGGCGGTCCTGAGATGAGCCCCGTGGGGGGGGGGGGGAGCTGGCACGCAGGCGCTAAGCACCCTCCCACGCTCCCCACGCAGGCTTCACCAACTACACTCGGAGCCCCGCCGGCGACATCTTCAACCCAGAGCACCACGGTGTGCACCAGGACATGACGCGGCCACTGAGCCACTATTTCATCACCTCGTCCCACAACACCTACCTCGTGGGTGACCAGCTCATGTCCCAGTCCCGGGTGGACATGTACGCCTGGGTCCTGCAGGCCGGCTGCCGTTGTGTGGAGGGTGAGCGGCGGGAGCCGTGGGAGTCCGAGCCCCCCTCGGCCCGGGGGCCTTGGGCTCCGGGGGTCTCTGAGCAGGGTGTCTGCCCTCCTTCCCGGGCAGGGGCTGTGATAGGCCTCTCCTGGTGTTAATTGCTGAGCGAGAGGACTGACCCCAGTCAGTCCGCAAGCTGCAGGTCTCTGGGCATCGGCGGCCAAGCTCCTGGAGCTGACTGACGTCTGCCTTCCCGCAGTGGACTGCTGGGACGGGCCCGACGGGGAGCCCATTGTGCACCATGGCTACACTCTGACCTCCAAGATTCTCTTCAAAGATGTCATCGAGACCATCAACAAATATGCTTTCGTCAAGAATGAGTGAGTGGCTGGGACGGGGGCGGGGGTGGGGGAGGGGCTCGTGCGGCCCTTCCTGCTACTCCCCCACATCTTTTCTTGGGGGCAGTGTTTGCAGAGGCCAAGGGGCTGATCTGGGGGTCCCTCGTTGAGGCTGAGGGTCAGGGAAGGGAGTGGAGCTGCAGCTCCGGGGAGAGGGAGGGCAGCGGGCGCAGGAAGGGACAGCGGATTGGCTGAGCAGGGTGTGTGTGCGAGCAGCCCCCCCCCCCCCCCCCGTCCACACACACTTGGCGACCCCTGCTGTCAGCCACCCTCAGCCGTGGTGGCTCTGGCACTAATTACCCCCGAGAAGCTACTCTGCGTCCAAACTCAATTTGCTGTCACTCAGCTGTAGCTACAGACACCGTTGAACAGAATCCTATTTAGTTTCTGGAAATAGAAGACTGCTCCCCTCCCCCCCCCCCACCCCAGTCACCTTCAAGTCCTGGTTAAGCAAGGCTCAGAGGTAAGGAAAGAGCTAATTTAATGAGGGAGGGGAAGAGAAGCCAGATTGATTGAGGACAGAGAAATAGAGGGGCCCCTCCTGAAAGAGCTTGCCCGAGCTCTGTCTCGGGCTGTCAGGAGGGAGTGGGAGTGAGGAGTGGTGGCCTGGTGTCTAGACTTGCAGGTGAGAGAGGCATCTCAGGGTAGGGGGGCTGAGGCAGACAGATGTCCTGTAGCTGCCGAGGACCCAGGGACGTGCTAGGGTCTCAGGACGGGGATTGCCTCTCATGTGCCAGCATAATCTTTGCAGACATAGGGTTCTTCCCTAGGCCCTTGTGCCACAGGCTTCAGTCCCTTGCCTGAGAAGTAGGGAGAATACCTTCCCGCCAAGTCCTGTTTGCCCTCTCTGCACCATAGGACTCGCCCATCTCTTGCTCTGATTCATGCCATCTAGGTCTGGGTCACCTACATTTTCTAAAAGGATCATGTTGCCTTTCGACAAAAATCCAAGTAAAATGTGCACACGGTTAAAAAAATAAATCAAACAGGGGCGCCTGGGTGGCCAGTCGGTTAAGTCCAACTTTGGCTCGGGTCATGATCTCACGGTTCGTGGGTTCAAGGGTTCAAGCCCCATATCGGGCTTTCTGCGCACAGAGCCCACTTTGGATCCTCTGTCTCCCTCTCTCTCTGCCCCTCCTCTACTCACATTCTCTCTCCTCTCTCAAAAATAAATAAACGTTAAAAAAATGTAATAAATCAAACAACTGAGGAATGTGTAATGAAAATGCCCATGCTACACTCCCCATTCTGCACTATGAAGGTAGTAACAATGTTCTACCAGATGGAATGTGCCAGGCTTATGTCTCCTTTTCTTATGGGGCCGATGTTGGGACCCCAGAGCCACTCACAGGACAGTGTCTCCAGTATCTAGGTCAACGAGATTATTTTTCTCCGTCTAGTCATTGTTCCATATTTCACCTGTTCACATTATTTTTAAACCATGACTGGCTGACTTGCTTGCATGTTTCCTTTTGTTTTCCTGGAGTTTCTAATTGCCTTTGTTTTTTCTTATTGGGCTATGAATTGCATGCCTTCTTTACCTGTCCCTAACATCTCCCAGATCCTTTCCCACCCATGCAGTTGCTTTTCAAAGCCATCGATGGGCCCCTTCTCAGAGTGGCTGTCAGTTCCATCTATCCTGGCTGCTGGTGAAGGTCTCTTTTCATTCACTGGTGCAGGTGACTTGAGGTCTTACACATTTGGGGGCCTAGCCCTCCCCTGGCTTACTCTGCTCCTTCCACCTTGGGGCCACAGATACCCAGTGATCCTGTCCATTGAGAACCACTGCAGTGTTATCCAACAAAAGAAGATGGCTCAGTATCTGACAGATATTCTTGGGGATAAGCTGGACTTGTCATCAGTGAGTGGTGAGGATGCCACCATGCTTCCTTCTCCGCAGATGCTCAAGGGCAAGATCCTGGTGAAGGTGAGCCCCTCCCTGCCCCTTCTAGGGCCAGCATCCTGCTGGGCCTCTGGCCTCTGAACTGTGGCCAGGTGAGGGGCAGTTGCCCTGCTCTGGACAGTACAGGGCTCCATATCATCTGTGGCAGATTTGAGGAGTCAGGGTAGGCCCTGTGCCCAACCTGGCCTCAGTCTCCCTCCATGGTGGCCATTCAATCTAGGGACCTCTGTGTGCACACCCAGGCATTTCCCTCCCACACTGCTGCTGTAAGAAAGTGCCAGACTGGCTTCTGCCCTGTGGCCTGAGGTCCACAAGCAAGCTTGAGAAAGGCTCCTTCTCTTTGCTGCTGGCCTCCCAGTACTTCCTGCAGAACCCCTCCCATGGTCCGCCACCTCCCCCCAGGGCAAGAAGCTCCCTGCCAACATCAGTGAGGATGCTGAGGAGGGCGAGGTGTCTGATGAAGACAGTGCAGACGAGATCGATGAGGATTGCAAACTCCTCAATGGGGATGTGAGTAGGGGCTGGGAGGCCCTTCCCTTCTTGGGGGGGTGGGGGAGCCGCAGTCCTGAAGAGCAGGCTCACGGCCTTGCTGTGAGAAGGCAGTGGCTGAGAGAGGGACATCGGGCAGATGTGAGGGTGCTTTGCACGGCAGTTAGACAACTGGGCACACACTCAGCCGGGGTGGGGGGCCTTCCCTGCCTGCCCCTTCACCCAAGACGTGGCCCTGCACTCCCAGCTGGCAGAGGTGCTGGGGCTGGGGGTTGGCTGCACGGGAAGGAGGAGTGAAAAAGGGCTTGGCAGAGGGGGGCTGGGGGGACTCTGTAATTAGCATCTTTTCTCCTCTGGGCACTGTTCTAAGCCGTTGCTCCGAGGCAGGAAGGCATTATTTCTCCCTGAGGGGCCATCGGATGGGAAAATAGTTGTGCAGGAGCATTCCCAGCCATGCTGGCTAATTGTTTGAGAAAGCCCTGAGGCAGCGGAATTCTCCGCTTGGATGTGCCCGCATATTTCTCTGGCTCCGGGTGACAGGGCACCCGTGTTCTCTGACACCTAGGGTGCACCCCTCCAGCCTGGGCTCTGGGGCACCCAGATGCCCACGGCCCAGGCGCTGCCCTGGAGGGGCCCGAGTTTGTTAGGGCTATGATGGGGGCTGCTTTGGACAGAGAGGGCACCTAGAGGCTATGCCCCGGGTGCTGGCGGCCGGGCCGCCCATCCCTGCCCCCTGCCCATCTCCTGAGGGACATCGTAGCCACTGGTGGGATACCAGATCCCGAGCTGCTTCGGGCTCTTGGAGCCCAGCGTGGCCAGCGGGCACACCGACTGCCTCCCCCACTGGCCAGACACCGGAATCCCTGGGGCGGCGTCGTGCAGCTAAAGGGGTGCAGGTGTTAAAATCTGAGAGGCCTGGTTCAGAGCCTGGAGGTCACTGGCTATGGCCCTGGGGCACATCATAGGCCTGAGGTGCGCCCCAGGAGCTGGGAGGTGTGGGGGTAGGCAACGCAATGCGGGGGTGAGTGTGCGGCCAGGGGTGTGAGAAGCCAAGACGGGGTTCGGGCTCCCCGGCTCCAGCAGGCCCCCGCGGCCCTGCCCGAGACCCTGGGGGCTGTCACCGCTGCTGCCATGGGGCTGGGGGCTGATGGCGAGGGGCGACCGTGTGGCTCTGGCAGGCCGCCACCAACCGGAAGCGTGTGGAAAACATCGCCAAGAGGAAACTGGATTCCCTCATGAAGGAGTCGAAGATTCGGGACTGTGAGGACGCAAACGACTTCACCGTGTCCACGCTGCCCCCGTCCGGGAAGCTTGGGCACAAGGCAGAGGGCAAAAAGGTGAGAGCCCGACGGCCGGTGATGTCAGCCTGCAGCCGGGTCAAGGGCCTGGAGCACGAGGTCTGTGCACACCGGTGCACGTGTGTGTGCATACACACACGCCCCCGAACGCGTGCACACACCCGCACACACCTATGCGTGCACACACGCACCTCTGCGCACACACCTGCACACACCTACTTGTGCACACGCACACCCGTGCATACACCTAGTTACCTAGTTGTGCACACGCACACCCGTGCACACACCTGCACACACCTACTCATGCACACACGCACCTCTGTGCACACACCTGCACAGACCTACTTGTGCGCGCACACACCTACATACCTAGTTGTGCACGCACGCACGCCCGTGCACACACCTACACACCTAGTTATGCACACCTGTGCACACACCTGCACACACAAGCCTGCGTGTGCACTCATACCACTGCCCGCTGGCCCTGCTGCCTGCCGGCCGGCCTGCCTCTCGACCCCGGCTTCTCTAGGAGGTCACCTCAAGCTGTTTTGATTCTGATCATTAGGGACTCGCAGCCTTCCCTGTGTCACAGGGCGGCTGGCCAGGGTGAAGGGGTGGCCCCATTTGCATGGCTGTTTCCTTGAGGTCCCCAGGGGAGCTGCCCCCCCCCACCCCCCACCCCCCACCCCGGGGATTTGCAGCTCTTTGTGGAAGGGCACTTGAGCATTGCCTGGGGGCTGGAGGCCAGGCACCTCCTGCTGAAGGGTCTTGTGAGTGACAGAGAGGGGCACACAGTGTCTCAGAGCCCAGACAGTCTTGGGGAGCTATCTAGCTGGTCCAGGCCTGGAGTCCCCGACAGCCTCACGGGGAAGCAGGGCTGGGCTCTTGGAGGTATCTCATGGGGAGAATGGCGGGCGTGAAGCATGTGTTGGGGGGCGCTAGGCCGGGTCGGTGAGGCTGAACAGTCTGGGGCCCGGCTGGAGAGGGGCCGCGAACCTCGAAGTTCAGGTGCATCAGCTGAGAGGCTCAAGTGCAGCTGATCCCCCGGGGGCTGTGGTGGGCAGCGCGGCTGGTTTGGGGCCGGGCGGGGTGTGGGTCAGCCCTACAGACCCTGTTTCACAGTGAGCAGGGCTGCAGGGCAGGCGGTGGAGGTGGTGTCTACCCGTTTGGAGAGAGCCCTGCCCTGCCCCCTGCCCCCTGCCCCCTGCCCCCTGCAGAGCTCACCACTGTCTGGGCCCCGGGGAAGGTGGGAAGGCAGGTGGGGGGCTGGGCTTCCCGGGCAGTGTGTTTAGATACAAGTGTCTGTCGCACCCACAGGGCACGTGGTATAGCCGGTGCCCCCGGACACTGGGGGTCCCTCTCTGTGCAGGTGGCCCCCACAGGTCCCATGCGGACAGGGCATTGCTTATTTCCAGTGCCCAGATTTCTAGGTGGGGGCTTGGGGACGTGCAGGATGGCAGCTTGGACCTGGGGAACTAATGTCCATGTGACTTTTTGAATGAGGGGGAGCAGGTACTCAGGGAAGGCTTCCTGGAGGAGGAGAAGTCGTGGCAGCTTAGGCTGAGCTGCCAGGCATGGAGCTTGGAGGGGGCGTCAGGGAGGACCCCCCGCCCCCAGCAGCATTAGGCCCTCCCCGGCTGGGGCACGCGCAGGGGAGCAGTGGGGATGCAGGGCACAGAACTCTGTGTGTGGGGGGGGCGCTGGGCAGTGTGGTCATGCACCTGCTCCCACATGCCTCTCTGTCCCCTTTGCCGAGTGGCCAGAGGCTGTGGCCCCCGTTCCGTGGGAGGCAGTAGGCAGACGTAGGATGGGCAGACTGGTGGGGAAGAAGCAGAGGGTCAAGGAGGGGACCCCCCGTCTTCAGTGCCGGGTGCAAGTCTAATGGGCACGGGTGCTGGCCGAGGGCAGGCCTGATCTTCTGTGAGGGAGCCGGTCCCCTCGACATCCCGAGTGGCCAGGACTGGAGGTTCCTGCTCGGAAGGGCCCTGCAGCCCGCACTCCTCCACCTGCCTTCCCAGTGGCCCCGCCCACGAGGCCGAGCTCTCGTGTCAGGCGGTGTCAAGGGGCAGGAGCGGCCCCACTGCGGGCCCTCCACTTCCCACGGCCTCCCTGAGGGTGGTGCTCAGGCCGGTGCTGTAACCTCTGCCAAGATTGGGGGTGCGGGGGCGCGGGTGTGCAGTGTTGCGGGCGTTAGAGTGTGCAGGGGTGAGGGGTGTGTGTGCAGACGGTGTG